AGCCTCGGGAATGCGGCATGCTGCCGTCTGTTGATCAGAGGAGCATGAAGTAAGGATATTGGTAGTTTTCAAGATTTCCAGGTTTTTCCATACCTACGCTCTGCCTAGAGGGTTCTGACTCTGTTTGCTTGAAGGGGCCCGGGCAGTGTAAAACGCCCCGGGCGGCCCCCCCAGCCCCCGCCCCGCGGTTCCCCCAGTTTCGCCCCCTGGGTTCCCGTAGCTTAGGTTAGCGTAGCTTACCTTAGTTTAGCCTAGCTCAGCTAAGCTTAGCGTAGCTTAGCTGGGCTGAGCGTAGCCTAGCCTAGCTTAGCGTAGCTTAGCTGATATCATCTTAGCTTAGCTTATCTTAGCTGAACTTAGCAGAGCTTAGCTTCGCTTAGCTGAGCTTATTTCATTTCAGCTTAGCGTAGCCTAGCTTACCTCATGTTAGCTTAGCTTAGGTTAGCTTAGCTTAGCTGATCTCATCTCAGCTTAGCTTAGCTTAGCTTAGCTCAGCTCAGCTTACCTCATCGTAGCTTAGCGTAGCTTAGCTTAGCTTAATTTAGCTTAGCTTAACTTAGCTTAGCTTAGCATAGCCTAGCATCACATAGCGCATCCTAGCATATCCTAGCATACCCTAGCGCAGCATAGCGTAGCATAGCGCAGCATAGCATAGCATAGCATGGCATAGCATAGCGCAGCAACGCGTAGCATAGCATTGCATATCATAGCATCACAGCAAAGGCAAAACAGCAACAGCAACAGCAGTGCTGAACAGCCTGCTGGCGCTGGGTGTACAGCAAAGCAGTGCTGAACAGCCTGCAGCACTTGCAGGAGCCGCGAGCAGTGCTGGACAACCTGCTGTCGCTGGGTGCACAGCAAAGCAAGACACAGCAACGCGCAGCATAGCATAGCACAGCATAGCTCAGCATAGCATAGCATAGCATAGCATAGCATAGCATAGCATAGCTTCGCATGTAGATGTAGATGTTGCTTTCCTAAATGCTCCAACTCCTAGGTAGGGTCGCACTGGGGTAATCTTGTTCTCCCGCGCGGGCTACAATAACGAATGGTCGGGCGCGTTCCGTCGCGCAGGTTCCTTGCACGATGTGCGCGGTGCTGTTTTCGCGCGTCGGAGCGCCCGTGGAGACGCCCAGCTGCATGCTGTGTTGCTCTTGGGGGGTCCGCGAGTCGCAGCTGCCGTGGCGCCGTTTTCGAGGCGACCCCTTCGGGCGCCGTTCGCGGGCGCAACGCGAGGCGCGCGCTGCGCCCGATCGCGCCCGGCGCGGTGCGTGATCAGCCGGCCGCGCCCGTCGGGCCGCCCGGAAATCATTTCTGGCGCGTGGAATGTTCCAGGAAACGCTCCATCTTTTTTGGCGCAAGCGGTTCCGGAATTTTTAAGCAGGAGCCCGGGCATGTTGAACAAACAGTTTTGAAAAGGGGTGGAATGCGCCCGCCGCGCAGGACATCTGAAGAATTCTAGAATCCGGAATTTGTCAACGTGGACTCCGTCATTTCTCAAAATCGACTCCGTAATTTTATCAAGATTGATTCTGGCATTTTTCGAAAAGTAGGCCGGGCATTGTCGAAAACGCCCCCGGTTTTTTTTTCAATTTAACCCCCGGGGAATTGGCCAGAGTCGCGCGTGATGTGCCAAGCTATGTTTTTGGAAATCCGTCGTGGCGCGCGGTGCGCGGCGGCGGGCGACGGGGCGGCGCGCCGCCGCCCCCCCCCCCTCCCCCCCCCCCCCAGGCTCGGCAACGAGAAGGAGACCAGCAAATGCCAAATAGCCCCCAACGGGCGACCACTCGATTGCGCATGGGTGTCCGACCAGCGGCGCCAGCCAGAGTAGACCATACTCGACGCAAAGTGCACCCCGCAAGAAGGTTGTTGGACATCCCGGACCCCCCGAAAGGTAGCAATAGCACGTTGTGTGAATCTATTCTTCGCGTCCTAGTTGAAGCTGCGCGGCGCGCGCAGCTTTCCCGCGCGTTTGGCCGTTCGCCCAGCGCGGGGGGCGAGCGCCCATTCAGCGTTCAACAGTTCTTACCCCCTATGGCACCGCTCATTCGCCGCTCACTTACGTCCGCGTTTTCGATGGGGCCCCGAAGTGCGCGGGTGGTTTTGTTTGGGTGGTTTCGTCTGAGAATGAGACCATGCATGCCCATTGTGTTTGGCTTTCCTACTTTAGGTCCCTCGCCAAAATACTAACATGGTCAGCAGACCTTTTCAGCCCAAAGGGGCGAGAGTCTGATTGGCGATGTGCCACTTGTCGTTGCTGCGGGTCTGTCCGGCCATCGCGTTCTCAGTTGTCGCCGCGGGCGATTCGTGAATGCGCCGCCTGTTGATCGACGCGCCGCCCAGGTTCCATGCGGGGGCGCTTTAACTGGGTGCTCATAAAGGGCAAATGACCGGAGTCCTGGAGCATCGCCTGATCGCGGAGCACAGGGCGCAGTTGCGGGCTCGATGCAAGCGTTTGCGCGTGGGGGCCAAGGCGGCTGCTGTCGCGGCGCAGTCTGCGGCTGGGGCGCTATGGGCGTCGTGGCCCCGCTCACCCCGGCCCGGGGCCGCGCTGCGTGGCCGTGGCAAGGATCTGGGCGCGGCGCGCAGAGACTGCCAGGATTCTGATGAGTACGTTGGTCATCTTTGCGCCGAGTGCCCCAGCGATCAGCGACGTTGCAGAGGCCGAGGAGGCGCGTCCGATGCAGGAGGGGCGCGGCGTGATTATCCAACGCGTCGTGGCGCAGGAGTCGTTTGAGTTTTCGGTTGGGGTCCGGTAACTTTCGCGTTCCAGAGCTGCGCTGGTGCGGATTGGCCGTGATGGGCGCGTTGCCGTCTGACTGTCCGCTTCGCGCGGTGGCTGGCCGAGCCGCGCGCGAAATGTTGGCGCGGCGGAGTTGTTCGCGATTTTGTCGGCGGCCCTCCGCTTCGGCCCGTCGGGCGCCATCGTCTTGGACGCGCTGGCCGAGGTCGGAAAACAGGTGGAGCGGCCCCGGGGAAGGTGCTGGGGCGACGCGTGCTGGGGCCCGTCGGTCGACGCGCGCGCTCGGGACAGCTGGCGGCCGAAAGTCCGCAGTTCCACTTGCGCTCGTCGCGCCCCCATGTCTTCCACGCGGTCGAAGGTTGTGGTCTTGCCGGCCTAGCTCCGACGCGGGTCCTCGGCAGTAGTTTGGCAGAGAATTTTGCCGAACTGGTGGGCGAGAGCTTGGCCAGCCGTCGCTAGTGGGCGCTTGGAGTTGCCTTGGCAGGTATGTCACGAAGCTCGCACGATGGCGCGTTGCCATCGCAGGCTTCTCGCCTGTTAATTTTGCCAACAGCTGTGGGGGCAGCGGGGGCGAGACCTACCAGTGGCTGATGCATAATGAACATCGGTTGTTTATGCGGTCTGGCCAGGCGTTGGAATTGTCGCAATGGCGGCAACGCTGCTTGCACCCGAACTTACCGTGCACGTCTCGGGCGGAGTGCCAGGCGTCAGCGTGCGCCGTGGAATTTGCCGCAGCCTCGCAATTTTGCGTTATTTTGCTTGCTTTGGGGATCCACCTACAAGTGGTCGTGCGCGGATGCCTTGCGGGCCGCGTAGAACGTTGCCGATGGTCAGCTGGGGCCAGAAACGGAAGTTGCCCCGCGTGAGCGAATTCGAGCAGTCGGTTTGCGGTTTTCCGTGGACGCGAAATTTCTCGAGTAAGGACAGGTGCCGTCGCGGGCAGGCTATGCGGTTGCTGCGTGCGGTGCGCTTGGTTTTTCGCCAAATCACGGCGGCAAAACACTCGCGGTAATGTTTGTGTGTTCGGCGGAACGGGTGGTGCCGAAGAGAAGCGCGCGCAATTCCAGAGTGCGCGCAATTGGCATAAACAGTTTGGCGAAGGCGATGGGCTCGATGCGCCTGCGGAGAGCCCAGGTGCTGAGGCTGCCAGGCGGCGCGAGCGGTCTGGGTCTGGCGGTGGGCCGGGCTGCTCCCGGGCCCCCCGCGGGGGAACAGCGCGATGGAGGGGCAGTTGGTTGTGGCCACAGAAAGGCGGTGCCCATGGTCGGGCAGCGCTGGCACAAGGGCGAGGCCTACACAAGGACAGGATTGGGTTGATCGGTACTGGGCGACGCCAGGAGACAGGTGGAGCCAGTGGTCACGTTACCCTGCGAGTAGGAAAATTTCTTTCCGCGGGTGACCGCCAGCCCCCATGCGGGGTTTGTTGAATCTGATTGATCCTGATGTCTGCTTCATTTCCTAACTGGTGTTGCCCCGTTCCTCGGGGCGCCAGTTCTTGGTGTGGTCCCCGCCGTTGGGCCGCCAGGACTTGCAGATTGGTGTCCATGTGTGGTTTCGTGGCGTAGGTTACTGCTGTGCTGATGTTCTAGGGTGTTGCTTGTGTGGGCCCGCTGCTCGGGTCGGCGCCGCGTGGTGTGGTCCCGCCCATGGGGTTGCCAAGCGTATTTGTTGTCTACGTTTATGAATGTGAGATGATTCTGGCGTGGTCCGACTTTTCGTGTCGCCAAACTTGATGTGGTCCCGCTCCACGGGTCGCCGAACATTGCAGCCTTCTGTGTTTGAAGCTTGATGCATCTGTATTGTTCCGAATTGTTCTGGTAGGTTTGGTGCGGAGTTTGGCGCGGAGTTTGGCGCGGAGGTGTTGGCTTTGGTCCGGCAGCGTCGTTTGGGGCATCTTGGTTTGCGGTGGTGTTTGCATCCCACACGCTGTGATTGAGGAGGTCCAGAGCAGAGTGGAGCAGCATGGCATCTCAGAGTCAGGAAAGAGAGAGAGAGAGAGAGGGAGAGAGGAAAGAAGGTGAGCCATGGCAGAGGGGGAGTGAGAAGCGAAGCGACAACGTACATGGGTTTCGAGAGTAGGCGTTGCGCGACCGTGCGCAATACGACGCATATCTCGCGGACTGGGGGGGCGTATTCATGCACGTGGTTGGTCGCGTGCGTGTTGTGCGGGCTCCTGGGCCGCAAGCAGAGGCTAATGAGCCAATCATAGTCACCTCCTTCCCCCTTCGCCCTTGTCCACTGGCGCAGCCGCTCGCAGGAAAGGCGGGCTATGATCGCGGAGTGGAACAAGGAGAGGAAGGCGGAGCTGGAGGCGCGGGCCCCAGCGAACGGAGATCCGGCTCTCCTTGGATGCATTCCGCGTCATGCGCCGTTCGCTCCCGTTGTACGCGCGCCCGATGCTCAGCGCATGCGTCGAACCCTTCCCGCGTCGGAGACGCATCCCCGCCCGCCGCTGTGAGCAGGCACGCCTGAAAAGTGGAACGCATTGAGGCACGGCTCAGCGCCTTCCTATTCCATCGGCCATGGAGGCTCCCGCTTCCGGTCTCTCTCTCTCTCTCTCTGTTTTTCTGTCTCTCTTTTTGTCTCTCTGTCTCTCTCTCCCTCTTTCCTTTTGTCTCTCTGTCTCTTCTTCGCTCTCTCGCTCTCTCTCTCTCTTTCTTTCTGTCTCCCTGTCTCTCTCTCTCTCTCTCTCTCTCTCTCTCTCTCTCTCTCTTTCTCAGTATATACGACGCGTGCCGGCGGTTGTTTGACGCCCTCAAGCTTCGAGTTTCCACCAATATTGTGTTGCTTCAGCCGTGCCCTTCGGGGCTGAGAGAGAGGCTCTCGCAGCGGAGCGGGATCGCGCATCACGAACTAGTATTGCGGCGGAGCAGGATCGCGCAGCGGAGCGGGGTCTCGCCGCTTGGCAGTGGTCGAGAGTGCAAACGCCGCCAACGAGGACCGAGAAGGGAAACCTGCCGATGCCCCTTTTGGCCTCTGGCGGGAGTAGCAGCGGTCGAGATCACTAGACAACGCCCATGTTGGGGGAACCCTCCCGATTTGGTGAATTCCGCCCTGACGTCACCACCCAGTTTGGGGACTCGTGGTTTTTCGAGGATGTCCCGAGAACGCTGGTGGGTCCAGGAGTTGCAAACCCAGCGGCGACCCCGTGTCCCAAAACGCGGCGGTGACTTTTTGGTGATTCCAGGGCGCCACTTGATACCTCACCACCTGATCTGGGGGCCCCCGAGTGGATATTCACACATCCCCGCCCCGTACCCGTCGCTCGCGCAGCCCGCGGCAGCCAGCGGCAGCAGCGCACAGGCAGGCTGGCGGCGTCGCTGTGAACCTGGGGGGGCCCGGCGGGAGCGCGCGGCCGCCGCCAGGCGCAGGCCGCGTCCGCGGTGCTGGCGGCGCCGCTGGCGATCACGAGCGCGCGCGGCCCAGTGGCCTCGCGTTCTCAAGAGCCCCGAGACGCTGCGGTGACCGCATCGCCGGGGGGGCCAGAGCAGGGGCACCGGCAGGGGGGGGGCCAGGCTCAAGGGGGGGGGAGGCATCGACCCATCGGCCCCCCAATCTCCCATTGATCTCCGATGCGGGCTCGCCAGCCCCCGCCTGTCCAGGGACTTGCGGATTCGGTATCGGGGGCCTATCGCCGATCCATCGGCAGTGTATCGCCGATTCCAGCTCGATCTTTCCCCTCTGAGCCAGTCCAACGCTTCCCCTCAGTCAGTGGGGATCCTGGGTCGGCGCACGGTTTCGGAACCTGGGGCGTTTTGTGAGGATGCCTGGGGCGACCAGGGCTTCGAAGGTCCCCAAACCATGCGGTGATGGACCGTGCGGTGAGGTCTTCGGGGGTTGCGATGTCACCGCGCGATCACCGGTCTGTCACCGAATTCCCAACTATCTTGTGGTGTTGGGTATTCGTTTTGAAGAGAGGGTGCCCCGCGGCTTTCCTCCCTCCATGCAGTTGTCCAGAAGATCTCCCGCCCCCTCCACGTTCTATTTCTGTTATTTACGACATGATGTCAAAAGGTGATTTCCTTACGGCCTTGCAAAGTCCAATCGTTCCCTATGTTTCAACATGGTCCTCCCGCTGCAGCGTGGGCCTTATTTTCGGATCGGTGCGTTGCTCTCGTCACTCTCACCCCAACGCGGGCCACTTTTCTGGATCCGAGCCTTGCTTCACTGTGGTCCCCCCATCCTTCCCCCTCATCCGCCTTCTCCTGATCCCCCTGTTCCTCCCGTTTCTTCCACTCCAGATCCTGCTGCGGCTGTTATTCTTGCCGTAGCGCGGGCCATTTTTCTGACTCAGAGTTTTAATCATTGTCGCCCCCTCCGCCGTCCCTATGTCCTCTTTTCCCTCTCGATCCTTGCTCTTTAGTTCCTGCTGCTGCTGTTCGTTCTCATCCTTCTCCTCGCGCTCAGCCCCCTGCTCACCCGCCACCTCCTCCTCCTCCTCCTCCTGTGCACGCAGCTCAATTTCTTCTGATTGCGCATGAGACGAAGTGGTCTTTCTTTGTGAGTCGCAGGTCGACTATGACACGCGTCCGCGGATAGTGAAAGTTCAGGGCCATGGGAAGGACTGGGAGAGAGCGATCGGATGTCAGATTAGGCGCGAGCGAACTAGGTTGTCTTCCTCCTCCTCCCCTCCACCCCTCCCTCCCTCCTCCCATTCCTGCCTCTGCCCTCCGCATGTCAACCACTTCGGCACAACCAGCACAACGGTTCGTGGCCCCACCAGGGAGTTCCACCGAAGGCCCTCATGGCAGGCTCCACATGCAGATCCCCATCCAGTACATCGCTTCGTGGTCCCATAGGGAGCTCCGCCGAGGGCCCCAGTGGCAGGGTCCACATGCGGACCCTCACCAAGTACAGCGTTTCGTGGCCTCATAGGGAGCCCCATTGAAAGCTCCAGTCGCAGGGTCCACATGCGGATCCCCTACCCAGCACAGCGCCTCGTGGCCCCATCGGCGGCTGCACCGAAGCCCCCAGTGGCAGGGTCCACATGCGGATCCCCCACCCAGTACAGCATCTCGTGGCCCCATAGGGTGCTCCATCGAAGGCCTCAGTGACAGGGTCCACATGCGCCTTCCCGCCCCATCTCGGCACACCTCTCAGACGGTACGTAGCCCCAGAGGGTATTCCACCGAAGCTTCCAGTGGGGTGTACATGCGCCTCACCGCCCCGTTTCCGCACAGGGTCCACATGCGTCTACCCGCCCCCTTTCGGTTTTCATCAGATGTTTTAGATGCGCGGCTGTAGCAACGCCAGACAAAGAAGCAGTGATGGTGTCCACCGACACGACGTTGATGCGCTCAGGAAGCGGCGGGTGGGTAAGTGCACTACCAGGCGTCCCCCATTGTCCCCACCGTCTGGAAACCAAGGAAGCACATACTGAATTGAGTACATGTCGGAGACTTGTCCACCCAATCGCCGAACATCACCTGCCACAGGAACAGTGCATATGAGTGGAAAACGCACCAGGGGAAGAGCAGCACGAAGCCCATGTAAACATTTGGCAAACTGAAACACGCTGCACTCCCCACCACCAGCACGAGTGAACCCAAGATATGAGCGTTCGTGAAGACACCCCAGCAAGGAGGGAACTGCACCACCAACCACATTTAAAGCAATTGATCCGCTCCCAGCTGATTGACGTCTGTCCAGGGCTTCGTCTTTCTTTGCCACCAGGAAGTGGTGTCCGACTGTGCGCAACGGCGCCCCCAAGCGCCACGTGGAGGCGAACGACTCGATTCACAGCGCCATCGCAAAACAGCCAAGATGCTTACGGAGACGCCTCGAACCGATGCTTGAGGGAGGAGGGCGAAGGGAGGAGGAGGAGGAGGGAGAAGGGAGGGGGAGGAAGGAGGAGGGAGGCGGGTGGAGGGAGGAGGGAGGGGGGAGGACGGAGGAGGGAAGAGGATGAGCAGGATGTCCGTTTCGATTTTCCCTTTGCGTGGCCGTTGGCATGCGAATGGGATCCAACATATCCACGGCAGGCAGCAATCACGATAGGTATTGGAGAGGGGGATGAGGAGGTGGAAGGTCGGAGGGTGAGCAGGAAGAGGGTGCTGAAGGTACGGATCAATGCAGGAAGAGAGGACTTGCGAACAGAGGAGGTGTGGAAAAGGATGAGGCCGACGGCGATGCCGACAACGAGGGGGCATACGATATTGGCGATGATGATGATGATGCTGATGATGATGATGATGATGATGATGCTGATGATGATGATGATGATGATGATGCTGATGCTGATGATGATGATGATGATGATGCTGATGCTGCTGATGATGATGAGGATGTTGATGTTGTTGATGATGATGATGATGTTGATGCTGAGAATGCTGCTCATGATGATGCTGATGACGCTGCTTCTGCTGATGATGGGGATCATGGTGAGGATGGTGATGATGACGATGCTGGTGCTGCTGATGCCGATGATACTGATGATGGTCATGCTGCTGAAGGTGATGATGATGGTGATGTTGATGGTGATGATCATGTTGATGGTGGTGCTGCTGCTGACGATGGCGATGACGACGTTGAAACCGATGACGATGATGCTGCTGACGAGTATGGTGATGATGTTGATGGCGATGCTGCTGAGTATGACGATGCCAAAGCCTATGGCGATGATGACAATGATGGCACTGATGATGTTGATGATGATGATGCTGACGATGCTACTGATGATAGTGACAATGGTGATGATGCTAACACGGATGATGATGCTGATGATGAAGACGATGATGGTGAGAATGTGGTTGTTGATGATGGTGATTATTATGTTGATGAGCATGGTGGTACTTATTATTGTGATGATGTTGGTGATGGTGATGGTGATGGCAATGGTGGTGAGGATGATGATGGTGATGGTGATGGTGATGATGCTGATGCTGATGCCGATGCTAATGCTGATGCTGATGATGATGATGATGCTGATGCTGATGCTGCTGCTGATAATGATAATGTTGACGATGATGATGATGATGATGATGATGATGATGATGATGATGATGATGATGATGCTGATCATGATGATTACCATACGTATGCTGATCATGCTGATGATAATGATGATGATGATGGCGAGGACGATGCTGACGACGCTAATTTCGTTGATGTTGTTGATGTTGTTGATGATGATGATGATGATGAGGAGGATAATGCTGATCATGGTGATATTAGTGACGTGTGAGGAAGCTGCTTTTAGTCGCGACTTGCGCTGGCGTGCAGACCGTGGGCCGCAGCTGGGCGGCTCGCCAACAGCAAACGTTGGTTCAAAGCCAGTTGCTGTTGGGCAGGCCACTCCTCTGTCTCAAACGGACAACGCCCACGGCGACACCGACAGCGAGCCCAGCGCAAAATGGGCAGGAATTGCTGTTGGTATCTGTGCCTACTCTTTCCATACCCTTTCCAATCGTACCGACTTTGGGCGGGCGGGTGTCTTAGTCGCAGTGGCTCTTTTTATAGAGACGAAAAGGGGCGCGCGCCGAAATCCATTCCGAACGAACTTGCGTTTTTTTATGGTTTCAGTGTGCAGGCGCGCCCTGCCGCGCGGTGGTTTCCCGACACGCGTGCTGAATTTCGCATAATGCGAGGCATTCACTTTGCACGTTGCGCATGTTATCGCGTACCAATCACGTATGGCTTGAGCTACTTTACAGACGCTTTCTGGCGAGGCCCTTCCAGGGGCCTCTTAGGGCCCGCCGGGGCCGCCGAGTGCCGAGAGCTCCCAGCAGCCATTGCAAAAACACCGCCGCCGAAATGGTCGCCGAATGAGCCGTCGAAAGGGCCGCCGGAATTGCCATCGAAAGGGCCGCCGAAAGAGCCGTCGAAATGGCCGCTGGAATTGCCGCCGAAATTGCCGCCGAAATTCCCGCCGCAATCGCCGCCGAAATTGCCGCCAAAATCGCCGCCGAAATTGCCGGCGAAATTTCCGCCGAAATTCAGGATTGTGCTTCCGAGAAGACGCCGGATTTGACCTTGGCTGTGACTCTATGCCTGTGTCCGCGGCGTCATCATGCTTTTTAAAACAGCGATTTCGCTTGGGGAAGGGCAGTGACAATTGCGGCGGCGATTTCGGCGGCGATTGCGGCGGCGATTTCGGCGGCAATTTCGGCGGCGATTTCTGCGGCGATTTCGGCGATGATTTTGGCGGCCCTTCTGGCGGCCTTTTCAAGGGACCATTTCGGCGGTTTTGCTGTTGACAGCTGTTGACGAATGCTGCTCGGAGCTCGCAGCAGTCGGCTGTGGTAAAGAGTCGATGTCCGTCGACGCAATTTGACGCGCCGTCAACGCGACGATGACTGTAACATTTGTTCTCTTGTGGCCTTGGCGGTGATGATGGCGACGGCAACGGTGATGTTTGGTCCGAAATGGATGCCAGTCAGGGGAGGGTGCAGGCGGGCATACGCCCCCAGAACTGCATGGTTTCAGCCCGTAGGGCGATGGGCGGGCGTCTGGGATCCTGTATGCCCGCCCGTCGCCTTCCGCCCACGGGCTGGTCGGGCATGAGCTCGACACCACTTCGTGGGGGGATTTGAGAGGCAGAAGTGCAGCCACAACGTTGCAAGGTACAGGTGTCGTAGGGGCCGCTCTGGGCTCAGGATGGGCTTTTGTGTTCGGGCTGTTTCCAAAATGTGGGGCAGAAAACATACTCGTGGCCGAGGCTCGCCGTGACCAGGATAGCCTCTTCGTTCCGCACTCGGGGGTCTACACTGTAGCACGATGGGTGTGCCGCTGCTCCCCCAATCTCCCCCGAATTCTGACCAGGCCTTCGGGCGAATGTGGCCGTCACGAGAGCGGCGGGTAGTGGCATCCGTACCTGTCATTCGATGTTTTTTTGTCCCAACCATCCTGTGGTGTTGGGTCCTCGTCTTGAAGACACAGCGCCCCGCGTCTCAATTCACCTCACTTTCCTCCCGCTCCTCCCTCCTATCGTGCGCTCCCAGCTTTTCGCATTAGTTTAAAATTCCAGCGGGCCCCTCACACGCTTCGTTGTCCCGTGGGGAGCTCCACCGGAGGCCCCAATGGCAGTGTGCGCATGCGTACCCGTACCCGGTTCGGGACACCCCTCACACGTTTCGTGGCTCCATGGGGAGCTCTCCCATGGGGCGAAAGCACCATTGTGAACGTCGGGAGCAAAGCGCCGATCCGAACGCGAGGCCCACGCTTCAGCGGGAACACCTGAGTGAAACACCGAAAATCAACGTATCGTACGCCACTACTAAATCGATATTGGAACTCCTGTGTGCAAGAAGGACCGAAGGCGGGAAGGGCCAGCTATTTCCCACGCGGGCTCAGGGGAAAGAGACGCCTGGTATTCATATTTCAGTTGCCGATAGAGGAGGAGGCGGATGAAGAGGGGGTTGAGGAACAGGAGGAGGAGGAGACGGAGGAAAGGGAGGAGGAGGAGGAGGAGGAGGAGGAGGAGGAGGAGGAGGGGGAAAAGGAGGAGGCTGCGGAACACGCGAAGGAGGACGAGGATGAGGAAGACGAGGATGAGAAATCAGACGTCGCGAAGGGGGAGGCGGAGCAGGGGGAGGGAGAGGAAGAGGACGTTGATAATCATGGGGATGAGGAGAAGGTCGAGTAGAAAGGAGGAAGGAGGGAGGAGGAGGATGAAAAAGGATAGTGGAAATGGCAGAGAAGGAGGAGGAGGAGGAGGAGGAGGAGTACAGTAGGACGTCGACGAGGCCGCGCCCGGCCTCTGAGGGCGCCGCCAGCCAGCCTCCCCCGCCGCTGATGCAGCCGCCAACCATGCAGCCGCCTGGCGGGTGTGGGAGCGTTCGGCCGCCACACGGTCAACCGATCAGAGGCCAATGACGTAGGAGCGACTGGAGAGATCGGGGTCGACGTCGCAGACATTTGCGCGTAAGCTTCCTGCAGAAGGTCGCGCGTACGTGCCCACTTCTCCTTTCTTTTTGGGGCCCGCTTTATTTTCGTCGTGCTCATACGAGCACGTACGCAGTCAGCTTCCACTGAAGGCGGCGATATGGGCGAATAGCTCAGGGGCGAGAGTGACACGTTTTCGCTTAGGAACCTCGCCGAAGAGATGGACCACCCTCGCTTTCGGATGCGTGTGTTGCCCCCCCCCCTCTTGGGCGGTTCGCCCCCATCGTTGCCCCCGAATGAGGAGCTGGTCCCGAGGGGAGGTCCTGTTGTCCAGGACCCGTTTCCCCTCAGAAGGTAAATACTACATTTGCTGCGTGGAGCGGGTGTCCCGTCCCCGCCATCGGGCGCATTCCTCGATACATGGCCGCTTCCGCCGCCTGCCGAGGACGGAAGGGGGAGGAGGAGGACGGACGGGTGAGGGGGATGGAGGATGAGAAGGAGGGGTGACGACGACTACAAGGAGATGGAGGAGGAGGAGGAGGAGGAGGAGGAGGAGGAGGAGGAGGAAGACGAGTGTAAGCCCAAGAGTCATCAACGATGTTGGAATTAATCCTCCCTCCAAGCTCCCTCTTTAGAGGCCCCTACAACGGTTCATTTCCATTGAGGGCACTGCTTCGTTTGAAGACAACCGTTTGACGACCTTACAGTATGCCAAAACATTGTTCGCGGGATTTCCAAGCCACGGATCAATTTGACTGCTGTGTCCTGACGATCTGGGGTCGTGCCAGCACGCCATGTTTGAGATTTCAGCGCAGCGAACCAACATACTTGTTGCACCCGCACAATCCTAAACCCTTCCAAACCACCGTTTCTGGTACGTTGCTTATGGGAATCCGTGAAGCTCTTTCAACTTGTTTAAACGACTGTGCGCGGCGCTAAGACGAGAGCCACATTTTGAAAACGACCCGTCCTCAATCTGTGAAATTCTTGCAAACGTTTAAAACGAATGTGCGCGGCGCTAAGGCGAGAGCCGCATTTTGAAAACGACCCGCCCTCGATCTTTGAAGCTCTGGCAAATGTTTGAAACAACTGTGTGCGGCGTTAAGGCGAGAGCGAACCGCCCAGAATTCGTGAACATCTTGCATCTGTTTTAAACGAATGTGCGTGGCGCTAAGGCGAGAGCCATATTTTGAAAACGGCCCGTTCTCAATCCGTGAAGCTCTTGCAATCTTTTAAAACGAATGTGCGCGGCGCTAGGGCGAGAACCACATTTTGAATACGGCCCGCCCTCCACCTGTGAAAGTGCTACGATTTTTGAAGCTTCAGAGTCATGAGTGGTGAGGGAAACTCAGGTGAAACGCCCGGCCCGCCCTAAAAACTTGCCTCGGAGTGCGACAGGGAGAAGTGATTCACAAGGAAAAGGAATGGAGGAGGAGGAGGAGGAGGAGGAGGAGAAGGAGGAGGGATGATGGATGATAGAGGAGGGAGGATACAGGGTGGAGGAGGGGGAGGAGGTGATGATGACGAGGAGGAGGAGGAGACGGACGAGGAGGGGTAGTAAGTAGAGGAGAGGCGACGACGACCACGCGGTCACGCTCGGCGAGGTCGAGTCGACGTCGTCGCCGTTCCGTCTACGTCCTCCGTCCGTCGTCTCCCGTCCTCCGTCCACCGTTCTCTGTCGGGTATAGCCATGACCCCAGGTAAGGGGACCCGGTTAGTAGTAGTAGGGCCCCAGAGTCCCTTGACCAGAATCACTAGACAAGGTCTGCCGTAGCTGGTGTTTTTGGTGGCAGCAGTTCTGGTTGGTGTAGCGGGGCGGGGGGGGCGTCCTCCAGTACGCACCACTCAACCAGGTCCCACTAAACCCAGTTCTGCCAACGCCCGACTCTGGTGGCTGCCGACTTCGGTCTCGCCGCCCTGCGTCGGCCTTCTGGGCTGCTGTGGGACATGCCACTGAGGAGTGAATATTCAGCCACGTTGTGGTTGCCAGGGGGCTCCCGGGAAAATCCCTTCTCACTGCTCTCTCCCTCCGTCCGTGCCCCTCCTCCCTCTCCGCCCTCTTCTCCGCGTCCTCCCTCCCTCCTGCCTCCTCGCTCCACTTCTTTCTCTTCGTCGTTCTCCAGCCCACCCATGGAGAAGCAGGGAAGGGGGGAATAGGGGGAAGAGTAAGAGGAACAGGAAGGTGGAGGGAGGATGGAGGAGGGGGATGAAGAGGGAGGGAGACCAGTCAGGGTAAGGAGGTGTTGGAGGTGGTGCTCCCAGTGCGTGCTTCTGCCACTCTGGTCACCCAAGCTATGTATATCGACTGAATTAGCGCGTTGTCTACTATCCACTGTGTGCGTGGTCTCCTACTTCGCACGGCCAGTCGTCAGCGCTCGAAGTTCGCCTCCGTTTGCGCTTATTTTGACAATGATTGTGTGTGCGTGTGTGTGTGTGTGTGTGTGTGTGTGTGTGTGTGTTCGTGTGTGTATGCGTTGGTGTGTGTGTGTGTGTGGGTGAATGTTTGTGTGTGCGCGTGTTCTCGGATCCGCAGCCTCGCGGCCAGCGAGGGCCATTCCACCGGGTCGAGTGTGAGGGGCACCTCGACCTGAGAGCTTTCGCGTTGCAGATCGCCTTCTCAGCGACTCGGCCAACTCGGCGGGCACCCCCAATGACCCCACCTTGACTATTCCACCGTCAAGCCAGCGGCGCCAGGTGATGGAGTGGTTGCTCGCGGGCGCCCTTGCCGCTGGTGCTTGACTGCCCAGCCGCTCGGCGTGGACTTGCCCGTCGGCGACCTCTGAGCCTCACCTGGCCAGCGGCTCAACAGTGCCGGCCTCACCGTGAGCATCGCTGACGGTTCACACCACCTTTTTTGCTGTTGGCGTCGCCTCACCCCGACGCAACCGCTCTGCCGCTCGTTCGGCTGCCTCTCGGCCGGCCCTGCCCAGCTCCGTTTCCGACGCGCGCGGACCTGCCCGCCGTCGGGGTCTGGCGCTTGGCACCGACTCAGACGGTCGCTCGATCAGCAGCGACGGCCTTACCGAGAGGATCCATGGCCGTCCCTCCGCTACGTATCTGCACTGCCCCTCGGTCGCTCTTGCAGCCCCCGTGCCTGGGCGGTTCCTTTTTCATGCCCGCCCTGTGCCCGCTACCAGCCATCCTCCCCGCGCCCCGCTGCGACTTTCCTCGGCGCCCTTCGACTGCCCCTTTCCGCCGAGCGTGCGCTTCGCTCCGCTGCCAGGCATCGCGGCCACGCCTTTCGTCGCTCCGTCGCCCGCGACCGTTTGGCGCCAGCCGGCCACTGGCAGTCAGCCCCACGCGGAGTTGGCGACACCCCGTTTGGCCACCCGCCGCTGGTCCCTCGCTGCTCCTTTCCTCGACGTCGTCCGTTTGGCGTCGTCCGCCGCTGCCGCCCTCCGCTGCCCGCCAGCCCCCCTGGGGCCTCGCCGACGGCCTCCAGCGCCCCCTGCTGCCTCCGCCGCCGCGCTGCCCCGCCTCGTCGTTGCCACGCGAGGGGTCGGCGTCTTCCCCCTGTTCACCGACTGGTCCCCAGGGCGTCTCTGGGTGCCTCACTTAGCCCGGCGGTGGCTTCTTTGCGCTTGGCGCGCAATTCCAAACGGCCGTGAGACGTGCGACCAAAGGTGCGTTGTGTGTGTGTGTGTTGGCCTGTCCGCGCGCTCGCTTCACGCCGCGCCGCGCCGCGCCGCGCCGCCGCCGCGCTTGTGGCCGCAACGCCAAAAGTGTGTGTGTGTGCGCGTGTGTGTGTGTGTGTGTGTGTGTGTGTGTGTGTGTGTGTGTGCGTTTATGTGTATTCGCGGTTGTGTGTATGTGCGTGTGTGCTCGGGTGTGTGCGCATGTTCTCGGACCTTAGATCTTCGTCCAGTACACGTTGCGTTATGGAGCTTCATGGTTTCATCGCCGCTGTCAGCGTGACACTCCACGGCTTGACCTCTTGCCCTTCGAATTGCATCAAAGAAACTATGGATTCGGTTTGTGATTCGGTTTTCTGCTATGTATGGGGCCAGGAGGACCAGGCGGACAGCGACGACGACGACGACGACGATGACGACGAGGGCGACGAGGACGAGGGGGAGGAGGAAGAGGACGACGACGTGGGTGCACTGGTCCAGCATCCTCATCCGCCCAATTGGCCCAAGCCACGAGCACGGGCAGAAGGGAGAAACGCAACAGAGTTCCATTGGAGCTTTATTAGGGCAATCTTGGTGTCAACTAGGGTTCACAGGGTAATCTTAGGGCACTGTCGAGGCAAATTCGAGGTCGTCTCGAAGGCTGCTATCGTATGTCACGGAATATTATTTGGAGGCGGCGGAATGTTATGGCGGTGTTGTAGGTGGTGTGGTTGTCGGTTGTTTATGGTTGGTTGGTTGGTTGGTTGTTTGTTTGCTTGCTTGCTTGCTTGCTTGAGCTGTCATTTCTGAAGACTAATTATTGTTGATCCCCCCCACCAGTGCATACTGTTTTTTTCTCAATCAAAGTGTGCCCCTCGACGCTCGCACCATGTTTTTAATCAGGGAAAGTCTTAAGGCTCAAACTGGGCCCCTGCAGGCCCCCGGGTTACAACAACAACGGCTACCGCCTGAGACTATTCACAATTTAGCCAGGACCCCCGCTCCCGCCCGAGACGTCCTCCCTTTTTATTCCCCATATCCTAAGATGGGGTTCTTGTTATTACTTGGACGCCTCCTACTCCTCCTCCTTCCTCCTCCTCTTTTCTCCTCCCCTCCTGTCGGACATACTCAGACTTGCTCATACACAGACTTACTCATACTCAGACTTACTCATACTCAGACCTACTCATACTCAGACTTACTCACACTCAGACATACTCATATACAGACTTACTCATACACAGACTTACTCATACACAGTATTAGTCATACCCAGACGTACACATACACAGACTTACTCATACACAGACTTACTCATACTCAGCAC